GAATGTTTCCCACTCAGAGCCCAAATGATCTTGGTCTGGTTTTAGTCCCTAACATCTTTGTAAGTATCAGGGGGGAAAAGTCCTTTGGAATGTCTTCCCTCAGCTGAGCACCAACCTCCACCAAAGGCTGTTGTGAGACACCCTCTGAGACCTCCAGTGAGGGAGGGCTCTCCCATCTGCTGTAGCGCACACCTTGGGTTTGATAAATACATCGTGGTGACTTTCTCTTGTTCTGTTCATGCAGGGCTGAGGAGGGGGCTAAGTGAGTAACTGTGCTTGCAGGGAAAGTCTGCCTGCCTGCGGGGGGATCTGTGATCTCAGCACTCCACGGTGAGAAAAAGGCAGAGACAAGGAATCAGCCTCAAGTGTCAGGCCGGTTTGCCTGGTGCGCACAGCATGGCAGGATGTGTGCAAGAGAACCAGGAGAGTCGACGTCCCCAAAGCTGTCCTTTGACAGACATACATCATACACAAATAAGTAAATATAAATTTTAAAAAATGAAGCCAGGCAGTGGTGGCACATGCCTTTAATCCCAGCAGCACTCAGGAGGCAGAGGCAGGAGGATCTCTGTGAGTTCAAGGCCAGCCTGGTCTACAGTGAGTTCCAGGACAGTTTGGAGGACTGTTACACAGGGAAACCCTGCCTCGAAAAACAACAATTAAAAAGGCAAAACCCAAAAAAATAAAATAAAAAAAATAGAAGCAAAAAAAATAAAATAAAATAAAAAAGCAAAACCCCCAAACAAAACAATTTATAAAATGGAAAATGAAAACACTCACATGACTACTCGCATGGTGGAATATACTATTTGGGGTAAGAGGAACCCATGTTCCCGGGACCATGGTTGCTCATATCTGATATTAAGCCATCTCACTTCTTTTTTTTTTTTTTTTTTTTTTTTTGATTTTTTGAGACAGGGTTTCTCTGTAGCTTTGGAGCCTGTCCTGGAACTAGCTCTTGTAGACCAGGCTGGTCTCGAACTCACAGAGATCCGCCTGCCTCTGCCTCCCAAGTGCTGGGATTAAAGGCGTGCACCACCACCGCCCGGCAATCTCACTTCTTTCTGAGTGCGAGTGTTGACTGAAGCTAGCTTCACTCTCTCGCCTGCCCACTCGCTCATCCAAGCACTCATCCTCTCCGTATAGCATCCCCACTCTGACGGACAATCTTCTTTGTTGTTGTGTCGTTTTGTTCTTTCGAGATAGGGTTTCTCTGTGTAGCTCCTGGGTGTGCTGGAACTCTCTGTAGACCAGGCTGGCCTCAAACTCAGAGATCCGCCTGCCTCTGCCTCCCGAGTGTTGGGATTAAAGGTGTGCACCACCACCACCTGGCTTCTTCATCTTTTTTAATGGTGTATTTATTATTTTTATTTTTTTAATGTGCTTTGCTCTTTTGCCTACATGTAGGTCTGTGTGAAGGCGTCAGAAGCCCTGGAGCTGGACTTACAGACAGGTGTGAGCTGCCATGTGGGTGCAGGGAATTGAACCCGGGTACTCTGGAAAAGTAGCCAGTGCTCTTTTTTCTTCTTCTTTTAACTGTTTTATTGAGCTGTACATTTTCCTCTGCTCCCCTTCCTTCCACCCCTTCCCCTTCTACCCTCTCCTGTAATCCCCGAGCTCCCAATTTATTCAGGAGATCTTGTCTTTTTCTTCTTTCTATGTAAAGCCATGTGTGTCTCTCTTAGGGTCCTCTTTGTTGTCTAGGTTCTCTGGGGTTGTGGACTGTAGCAGTCTGTGCTCTTAACTGATGAACCATCTCTCCAGATTCAGACACTCTTATGACAAGATTTATTAATTAACTGAAGAAAGGAGAGAAAGGAGAGAGAGAGAGCGCGCAAGCCAACGAGTCTGGGTTTTATTCTATGAGCCACCAAGAGACGGGCTGTTTTCCCAGAAGACACAGTGTCCCTCTTCTCTGAGCTGGTGTCCCTGAACAGGGAAGGACACTGTTCTTCTCGGGAAGCACCTGACACAAGCAACAATTTTCTCAGAAGCACGCTGGTGTTGAGTACACCTGTGCCTTTGTCATCACTTGTCCTCTCAGACCTAGAGCTCTTAAAGAAACAAGGAAACAGATTTCCTAGTGGCAGAAGGAACATTCTCTCCTACCTCCATGGCTGTGTTCCTCTATTCTCGTGTGTGTGTGCGTGTGTGTCCCCGTGTTCAGGAGGTTGTGGTTGCTATTCTCCTCTGAGCTTGGGTCCCTGCTGAGCTTAGCTCCAGGAATAGTAGTAGAAGGACTATTTAAAGAGAGAGAAATGCAGAGACGAGGAAACTCATCCGCAATTCTATATGGCCTCAGTGGCAAACGCTGTATATCCATCCTTTCTTACTGACTCAGGGCCAGAAGTACCTTGAGAGTCCTGGAAGGGAGAAATAAAGGAAATTACTATTCATTGGGTATTAATGTGTTGGGATTTCTATTTATTTATCTTCATTTCTCACCTCCTCCAATGTAAGAATCAAGGTCAGAGACTCATATAGGCTGGACAAATGTTCTGCCAGTGAGTTATACTCTGAGGCCATTCATTCTGCTTTTATTCCATGCTCTGAGAATCCAAAGGCCTTCCTTTATGGAGGGGCAAGGAGACCTGGCAGTCAAGGGGCTTGCCTCGGTGTTCCAGGTAGCAAGGGGCAGGTCTGGGATGTGCCAAGTGTGTTTCTTTTTAAAATGAACACAGCCATTCACTAGGAGGGTCTGCAGGACAGTGGAGAAAGAGCTAAGATTCAGTGACAGGGGGCTGGAGAGATGGCTCAGTGGTTAAGAGCATTGCCTGCTCTTCCAAAGGTCCTGAGTTCAATTCCCAGCAACCACATGGTGGCTCACAACCATCTGTAATGAGGTCTGGTGTCCCCTTCTGGCCTTCAAGCATACACACAGACAGAATATTGTATACATAATAAATAAATAAATAAATAAATATTAAAAAAAAGATTCAGTGACAGGCAGAGACAGCGAGCCCTCTGTAACAACTTCCGTTATATGGCTTAGGGATGGGCAGAAAGAGGTTCTCCATGTCTCTGGATTGATGGAGCCCTGGCTCAGCCTCTTTGGCCTCTACCTCCAGGGTCTCCCCCATGCTAGTGAACACTCTCATGTAGAGGTATCCTTGTCTAGGAAGGCCCAGGAAACAGCTGGAGACGTGGAGTGTGCTTCTTCCCACTCCCCATGGATTCAGGGATCAGCCTGTGCCACAGCCCATCCCATTGGCTCATCTCTCCTCTTCTCCTTCTTCCCAGTCCGTGGTTGCTAGACTGACCCGCCAGCAAGCCCCCCATGATGCACCTGTCTTTGTGTCTCTACCAGTGGTTAGGGGGTTACAGGCAAAAGCAACCAGGCCCAGTTCTGAAGTCCCCATGGTTGCACTATAAGCACCCAATGAGCCATCTTATCTTCCTAAGCTTTCAGTGACGTACATTTATTTATTTATTTAGAGATAGTGTTTCTCAGTGTAGCCTTGGCTGTTTGGGAACTCACTCTGTAGACAAGGCTGGGCTTAAACTCAGAGTTCTGCTTGCCTCTGCCTCCCCAGTGCTGGGATCAAAGGTACAGCGCAGCCACCACCTGGCTGTCAGTGATTATAGAAGTAGATGGATCTCTAAGTTCAAGGTCAGCCTTGTCTATGGGGTGAGTTCCTGGATAGCCAGGGCTTCGCAGTAGAGCCTGTTTCAAAAAACCAAAAGAAAAAAAGAAGGAAAGGAAGAAAGAAGAAAAAGAAAGAAAGAAATCCAGAGCTGGGTGTGGTGCTGTGTGCTTTGATCCCAGCACTCTGGGAGGCACAGGAAAGTCAGTCTCTGAGTTTGAAGTTACCCTGGTCCACACAGTGAGTTCCAAGACAGCCAGGGCTATGTAGCCATCCTGTCATGACAAACAAAAAGCACAGTTTAAATATATTCTTTCATGATCCCCAAATATCTCCCATTTGAAAGTTAAAATTGACTCAGAGTGGCTGAAGTGAATCGCTGGAGGTCACACCGTACAATTAGTACTCGCTGAGATCAGGTCCAGACACAGGGCTTCCTGCCAGCCGCTGTCAGCCAGCCCCAGCGGTCACAGCACAGCATCCCAGGGTCCTTTCCCTGGGTCTCTCCAGCTTCTCAGTCCTTGACAGAAGAGGTTCCTTCCCTAAAGCCTGTAACCTTGAATCAGAAACCAACCCCTGTCCTCCCTCCCTTGGACCCTGCTCTAGCGCTGAAGTCACAGGGCTCCAGGCCCAGCCCTGAGGCCTGTCCCTGTAGCTTTGGCAAAATTGGGCTTCTCACCCTTCTGGCAACTGGGCTCTCCAAAGGAATCAAGACCTGGGGGTAGGGAGGGGTGAAAGGACTCTTCCTCATTGGCCTCTTTCCCAGAACAGCCCGGAGGTGGGAGGAAGGGACTTCCAGGTGGACAGAGGCCCAAGGAGGCCTTGCCACACAGCCGGTGTACGGGACAGGCCCCACGGTGATGGTTCCTGCATGAATACCCTGGACCCCCTTCTAGAGGCTGAAGATCTGCGCACACCACTCCCCCTGTGTAGGGCCTCACACACTCAGAAACTCACTTAAGCCCCCTTCCTCTGAGTGGCCAGGTTAGGGCAGGCCCCGCCTGTGGTCATTAGCTGTGTGATTCCCCCTGAGTGGACTGTTTGAGCCTGTACCTTCTCCCCTGTGGTCTTTTCCAAAGCAGGGCTGGGACAAACCTGGAACTTACTTTTTTATGGTTGTGAGCCTAGCCTTTAACGGCTGAGCCATCTCTCCAGCCCTGGAACTTACTTTTTTGAGACAGGATCCTGCCCTGTGTAGCTCAGGCTGGCCTCCTACTCAGGAACCTCTGGCCTCCAGGTGCCTAAAGGACAGTTGAATCAAGCCAGGCCAGCTGCACCTGGCTGTAATCTCAGGAAGAGACAGGGGTGGGGATCTTTAGTTCAAGGTCAACTGGGCAGCACTCAGGATGTAGATTTGGTAATTATTAAACAGGAACCCGCCAAACTGAGCAATGGGCTCCACTGAGCTTTCTTTACTCACCTGTAAAAAAAAGGGGGGGGTAGCACCAGCAAACAAGGGAAAAGTTCAGTGTAACCATGTCCTGAAGCAGGCGACAATCACCACTAACATGGGTCTCATTTAATAAAGTGCTTTAAGGTGACAGGCTGAAATCAGAGGAAGGACTGACTGCGCGGAGAGCTGCAGCTTTCTGGCAGTTAAGGTGGCCGCAGCCAGAAGACCGGCCTGGATAGACAGGATTTCTGAAGGAGGTAAGCGCAGAACGACCCCAGCGCAAGCTCAGAGGTCAGAAAAGCCTGGAGCGCTTGCAGGGTGGGGAGCTGGACTGCCGGGGAGAGGGGCACCAGATGGAGACATTCCGCAGGGAGGGGCAAGCACGCGTGGGGCTAGCACGAGGGAAGCAAAGTCACGTTCTCCCGATGCAGGTGAGGCGCTGTGCAGCTCAGCTACCCAGTGTCCAGGGCGACTCCTCTCCACTCGGCGGGGAGCACGCGGGCTCAGGGGCCACTAGACCATGCTTGCTGTCTGGGCTCCAATTCGCTTCTACTTATGGTGACCGCGTCATCACCCTCCGAGTCTCCCGGCCTTCTACAGGAAGATGACCTAGGGCTAGTGAAATGGGTCAGCAGGTAAAGACACTTGTTGCCAAGCCTGATGACCCGGGACCCGCACGGTGGAAGGCGAGAAATGACTCCCACGAGCTACAATGTACCCCTCAATACGCGCGCCTACACACGCACGCACACAATAAATGTAAAACAATAACGAATTAAAAAAAAAAGTGGTTCAGGCGGCGTTTCTCAAGCTTAAGAGCGAGTTTCCTTTCGGTGTGGCTGTGGGTCGTGATTGCTCTTCTTGGGTTGCGGGGAGCGACCCGCAGCCGGGGAGGGGACGGGTTAGGTGGCGCCGACACAGGTGCCCGGCGGTTTGCGGGGGAAGGGCACCAGCTCCTAGCGGGAGTGCAAACCTGGGCTTCCTATTTCGGGAGCAAGGGGTGTGGGCCACGCTCATCATGTGATGCGAGGGCTATTTAAAGAGGCCCTCCGGCAGGGAGCCGTGATTCTGGGTGCCTGCACGTCTCCTTCCTCGTTACACCATGGCGGACGCCTTTGTCGGCACCTGGAAGCTAGTGGACAGCAAGAATTTTGATGACTTCATGAAGTCACTCGGTGAGTGAACTGTGCGCGCAGGATCCCGGGTGCGGAGGGCCATCAAGCCGGTCTTAACGCTGAGTTCCAGCTGGAGTGCCCCGTGTGCTTCCTGCACGCGCCCTGCCAGTCCAGGCTGGGAACACCCGCGCGCGAGGGCGGCGTGGACTGGAGGAGCATCCTGGCTTCCTGGGAGGGGGTTGTCATGGTCCGACTCACCTGGGGAATGCGGTGTCTAGGCAGAAGGCGCCTAAGGGGAAGCAGCTGTAGCTGTAGCTGCAGAGGTCCGGGCTGGGAGGGCTTTCTAGGAAGCAAGGTGTGCGATCTGGAGGTGAGAGAGGAGTTGAGCGAAAGAGCAGCAGGCCCCGGGAGGCTGGCAGCAGGAGGAAGCAAACAGGAGCATGGGTGGTCTAATTGAATCCGGAAAGGGACTAGAGCAGGTGTGATTGTATTGTAGGAGGAAATACCTAGGAGTCCCGAGGAAGACCAAGGAAAACCAGTGAGTTCTATCTGGGAACATGTGAAGACAGACCTGGGCAGTCAGCCACGGTCCCTTCCCCTCCATGTCGGGGTAGTGAAGGTGCCCTGGTTCTCACCAGTGTGTTCACGTGCGGTGTGTGCAACCCGCTCCCCATCACACCCGCTCCCCGATCAGTGACGGACACGCTCCTGGTAGGCTAGGGCAAGACCACTGCCACACACGGGCTTGCCCACAGCCCTGGTCTCCCACCTGCTCAGTGCCAAAGACTGGGTGAAGAAAGCTGTTGTCTGGGATACAACAGAGGGTGCCAGAAAGCAAGGTCAAGAGCTGTGAAGGAGGAGTGTGGTTTGGGGATAGGGAAGAATAAAGCGTTGGAGAATCTCCTTAGTAAGATCTGTGAAAATAGAGCCCCACTCCTTAGGAAAACAGCCCAGGGCGAGCAAGTTCCTCATCTGATGGGAATGTCCAGGATTTCTTTTTGTCATGACTGAAGACTCAACTTAGAGCCTTGTGCATTCCAGGCAGGCATTCTATCACAGAATCTCACACACACACACACACACACACACACACACACCCTCCATTCCCTTTTTACTTTGTGAGGCAGGGTCTCACTAACTTACCCAGGCTGGCCTTGAAATTGTAAGCTGCTAGCTCAACCTTCCAAGTAGTTGAAAAGCCAGAACCACCTAGAGTTCTTCGCACCTCCACATAGGCTTGCCAGTGGGAGATGATGACCCTCTCCCCCAGGACTGGCCCTACCCCTTCCTTTCTTGCCTTGGCCTTAGGTAAAGCCCCTTCCTGTGAAGTCCTTGGCTATATCATTCTAGTCTTCTAGGCTGGGATGGGGAAACTAGGCTGTGCCATGGCTGAGCTAGATTCGATTCCTCCTTCGGAAGAAGAGGGCTGGATTATGACATGTTGAGGGATGCGTGGGGGTTCCTCTCACCTATTTCTGGATCTTTTCTGAAATGGTCCCCCAAAGCATTTTTGTCATTTTGGTTCTGGGGGTGGAACCCAAGGCCTTGCACACGCTTAGCAGACACCATGACTGCTGAACCTCCGCCCCAGCACGAGCTCCCATCAGCACCTACCCTGAGAGCCCTGCATCCTCTAGTTTGGAAGCTGGGCTTCGTTTTTGTTTTGAGATGGGGTTTCACTGTGTAGCCCTGGCTGTCCTCTTGCCTCTGCCTCCCCAACATGGGGGTGACAGACAAGCACCCACACCCTGCTAGTTGGCTGGTCTTGATAGGGTAGGGAGTACTAGATTACCCAGGTTTAGTTCCGCTTCCCCAAGCCAAACTGCTAAGTCTGGAACAGCCGTGGCCTCCTTTCCAGCCTTGGTGTGCCTCAGTGCTTGCCATCTTCAGGCCGTTGTGCTCGGGGTGTTGACTTCAGGGTCTCCAGCAGGCTGAGCACTTGATCGTCCCAAGGGGCACCCACAGAGCAAAGCAAGCTTCTTCTGTTACTTCATTTAGCCTGAACATATAGAAGGGCAGAAGCCCAGAGAAAAGCAGACTCACCCCAGCTCTCAACCAATAACTGATTTCATTACACCCTACACCTGTGGGTGGGTTCTCGGAAAATAACTGGTTCCCCGCTGAGGCCCAGTTCACTCAGACACCAGCAGGCAAAGCCTTAGCCTACAGAAACAGGTTCTTAGAACAGAGCAGGCCAGCCTAGTATAAGTGACTACAGGTACACAAGGTCACTCTAGCACAATTTGGGAATCTAGGCCACTAAACACTGAGATTTTTGCTTGTTGTAGGTGGTAGTGGTTTGTTTATGCCTTTTTCAAACCATGTCTCACTACAGCTCACATTCTGGAGCTGCGAAGCTCAAGCTGGCCTTGAATTCTTGGCATTTCTCCTGTTTCAGCCTCCTGAGTGAGATTATAGGCAAGAGTCACCATGCTCGGCTTGTTTGACTTTGGATAAGACAGCACACTCTCTAGGCCTTATTTGTAAATTGTGAATAGTAAAACCTATGTTTAGAACTGTTTCGGGCATTACTTGACTGTCCATGGAGAGCTTCCAGCAAATACACATGGCCAGGTGGATATTTGGAGGCCCCATACCATATCCCTATATTGGGCTGCCTCCTACCTCACCCCCTGAGCACAGCCTGTGCTTGGGCCAGAAGACAGGGAGTCAACAATGGAAGATTCTAAGGAAGCTGCAACCCAAGCAGGGTGAAGACTTGACCTACCGGGTCTGTGTACTTCACCTGCCTCTGGACACCTGGGAATTGCCCAGGTCTCAGATCCAATGCTGATGTCAGGAGTCTCCCCAGGACTTCAGCTCAATCCTTAAGTCTGTAGGACTCCCTTTTACTTTTGACCCGAAGGCCTTGAGCTGTAGTGTGCTACACACAGAGGGTGGAACACTGATGTCCTCGGCTTCAGGGTGAAAAACAGCAGACAGTCCTTATCCAGGGGACTCTAGCCTTATCCAGGGCTGTTGACTATTTCTTCTTCCTTCAGTCTGTGGTCTGAGTGTTCAGGAGGCCAGAGGCAGTAGCTGCTCTGCCCTGGAGGTTGACACAGGGCTTAGCAGCTTCAATCTGATTTGTGACCCTGGGCTTAAACTCCATCACAGTGTTTACATCTACAAACCCTTGCAGGGACAGGACTGAGGGGCCAAACAGGCATTTCATACCCCTTGAGACCTCATTCTGATTTCCACTGTTGTATCAACATTCCTAGTGTTTAACGTGAGTCCAACAGCTGCAGAGCTAAGGAAAAGACTGAAGGAAAAAAAATGGCCACACAAAGACACTGGCCACTATGGTCCTCCTTCCCCAAGATGCCTCCGAGCTTGTACAACCACCTCTCCACCCCAGCTAATTCTCGGCCATCTGCCCCTGTCCTTAGGTGTGGGCTTTGCCACCAGACAGGTGGCTAACATGACCAAGCCTACCACAATCATCGAGAAGAATGGGGACACTTTCGTCATAAAGACACACAGCACCTTCAAGAACACAGAGATCAGCTTCCAGCTAGGAGTGGAGTTCGATGAGGTGACGGCAGACGACAGGAAGGTCAAGGTGAGTCAGAGAAAGGGATGGAGGGTGGTACTGAGACACTATAGGGGAAGAGGCTGGCCCTCTCTTAGCTCCTTGGCTTTGTATCCCAAGAGGCACACTGTCAGAGATTTAGACCAAGGTTCATAAAGCCTGTTCAGTGTTGGGTGCCCCAGGGGCTAAGTACAAACTCTGGCCTAGTTTCTCCTCGCCTTCCTGCCACTCGAGTGGGCAGCAGAGCCAAGATGTTCTCCTGACCTTGTGTCTCCAGCCCCAGCTGGGTGACCTTGTGCACCGAGGTATGCGGTAGCTCTGAGGACTTCAGCAGCCATGGCTGTGACCTGAAGTGCTTCAGGAATGATGCCCAGAAGTCAGTGCCCTGGACCGAGGTCATCCAGGCTCTGTCAGCAAAGGAGGCAACTGGAAACAAAAGCCTGAGTCCTACTTACAGGTTTCCTCTTCTGCGCCCCAGGCTAGGCCACTGCCCTTGACACCAGCTGACAGCCAGGGCTATGCTCCAAGAAGGACACTCACCAACATGAATGTTGTGGGTGCATGTAGTCTCCAAGTATTGATTTCAGGGTATGGGAAGGAGCACCTACCTACCTCCAGCGTTGCTCAGTTGCCTCATGGTGGTTATCCTGGCAGCTTGCTCTAAACTTCCCAGCAGTGGTTCAGGCACAGAACCTAGGGTTGTTGATATCTGTAATATCTGTATCTACAGATTGTCCCTATACCAGTATCCCTTGCATCATAACCCTAAGTTGATCTCTTTAGCTCTTTCTCCCACATGGCTGCCTCCAGAAAGAACAGGGTAGGTACTGGTCTTGCAGATGCAGATGAGCTGAAGCCCAGCCCAGGACCACACAGCAGGCTAGCAGTGGCACAGGGGATGGTGCCTGAGATGACAATGTATTTTGGATGAAGGAGGCTTAACTACATCCTTGAACTTGACACCTTTTTTGTGGGACCAGACCCCACATGAAATACAACAGTGGCCTGCTGGGATGTTTGGGCCAAAACCGAACTACTGAGTTGATAAAAGCCAATGGGGAATGCAGATAATCCAGAAGGTGGAATATAGAAGGAACAAGAGATGAGCGATCAAATACAGCCATCACCTTTCTAGACGTGTACCCCACAAACCCTGC